TTTCGCTGGATCGCCTTGGCTATCGAATCGATCCACTTGCGCATGTTCTTGCCGGTTCGAGAGTCTTGCCGCATGCTTTCGAGGAAGGCCTTCAGGTCGGCGAGCAGATCCGGTGTACGTTCGAAGTCGTAGTAGTGGTGCTCGACCCAGTGTCTGATGACGTTGAGCACTCGGACTTTCACTGGCTGCTGGTATTCTTTGCGGAAGCGTTTCGCGGTCTGCTGCATGTCGGGACCGTTGGCCAGGTAGTCGATCTCCTCGAACTCGGGAATGTTGAAGCGTTCGATCAGCATGGTCAGTAGCTGCTTAGGCTCGCAGAACGTGCGGAACGTGGTCAGGAACGTGCGTACAAACGACGGGTCCGCGTACATGTGGAAAGTCAATCGCTCGACCAACTTCGGTAGTGTGGCAGCTTTGATCGACGGTACGCCGGCTGTGGACTTCTCCTCGAAAACGATGTTCGTTGGTTGATCGGGTTCCGAGAAAGCGTAGTTCTCCGGCAACCGGAGCGGATTCTGCTTTTCTTCGGCGCTGAGTATCGAGTCGAGACTCCGTTCGAGGTAGGAGCGCATATTAACGGCGACCAGACTCGCCAACCAGTTGACTTTCTCCTCGGCACTCTTCGCGATGAGAACGGTGCTCTGCGCGGCTGCGCTGTTGCCGTCGTGTCGGCAGATGATCTCGAACGCGTACTTGAGGTCTTCGGTGTCCGGCTTGTCGAAAACTTCGATCTTCCGGACGAAGAACTTCTCCTTCAAGCGGTACATCTCCTTGTCGGATTGACTGCGGCCCCGAGACAGCGCGCTCGTGGGCTTGCACAAACAGAGGAGACCGTCGAACAGGAATGCGTACCGATCCGTCGGCCGCTTATTGCCGGGACTCGCTTTCTGCAGGGCGCCCTCGAGGATAAATTCTTGGCACGATTGAGCGATCTCCCGCTGCTGGAGTTCTGACCAGCCGTCGATGCAACGCGCGAGTTCGGCGAGTTTCTGCGCGGCAGTTATCCTCAAGGAAGTCCTCCTGCGTAAAAACAGGCCCTCCTGACTTTTCCTCAGCGGCGATTGGGCCGCCAGGGCGGTCAGTTGAGTCTTGAGGTTCCCGATGAGCCCGTCGGTCTGCTCGAGGCTTTCGCGGTCCTCGTCGGTCGGGGCCAAGGCCTGCATCGACCGGATCAGTTCGAAATGGTGCAGACAATGGAAAACGGGCGTCCAGAGAAGCCGAGGCAAAACGTAGCGCGCTGCCAACCAGAATCCCTGACTCGATCGTTGCAGGGCCTCCTGTACCGCGGGTCGCTCCAGGACCGCTTGTAACGTCTGGGAGCACTCCGGAGACGCCACACACTGGGCGTACTCTTCGTACACCTCGAACTCGTAGCTTTCCGCCATGTCGTAGAAACAGCTTCCGACGGCTGGCGTTTGGTTCTCGTCGGTCATTTCTACGACGTCCTCGAAGCTGGATAGGAGGGCGGTGGAAAACTCGAGGACGTCTTCGATGTTGCCGAAGATCTTGGCGGCTTCTTCTTCTGCGAGCGGTACGCTCAGCTGTTTCTGGAGCGCGTGCCGGAAGACCTTGATGATGAGCTGGAGGTTTTTTATGTGTTCGCTTTCGTCGACGATGAGATCGTTCACTTGGTTTGCGTAGGTTTTCTCCAACGAGACGTTCGAGGGGATTTCGAGTCGGTCTTCGACCCAGTCCTCGCCGGTGAAACAGAACAGCTCGTCGAGGATGGGATCGGCGCACATGGCCACCCGACAGTCTTGGAGGGTGATTTCAACGTGGCGGATGTTTTTGACGTAATTGCCTGTCAGCTTGAGAATATCTCTCGCAATGTATTCTAGTACTGCGCAGACAAACAAACTGACCGCCAGTTCGACCTTGTAGCCGATCAATTCCCGAATTTGCACGTGCAATTTGTCCACGGGCAGCGTGAGTCCGTGCCCGGGGTTCGGTGGCAATCGAGGACGCCGCAACGTGCCAACCATCTGCCAGCGTTCGATGGCCGTGCGTGCGTCTTGTATGGCTACATGATCTAGTGGCTTGGGGAAAGCTTTGGTGACGCGTTCTTCTACATCCTGGGTTGTGTGGGTGCGACTTACGCATAGGGTACCCAATAATCGAAGGATCAGCGACTCAACATAGTCGAGAGCATCGGAGCTCGCGGTTAGTGTTGGATGAACTTGGAAGTGCAGTTTCTGTAGCGACTGTATCAACAGCCCTTTGTAACGCACGGTCAAGTCCGAGTCGTCCCTGGCGTCGACGGACGACTCGTTCGACGGCGAGAACATTCTCGCCATTAGGCCCCCGGGCTCCTAGAAGCATAAGGCGGCTCAAATTACAAAAGCAGCTCGAGCCCCCGGTCGTCGCCGAGGCCCCTGTTGGTTGTTGCCTTGTTACCGTCGCCGTATGACTTCAGTTGGAATGCCATTAAAATGACCTCAGTATCGTCTGTGATCTGAGCCGACCGTCCGATTCCGATGGCGCTCGTCGTTCATCTTCACACGTTCGCTCATTGATCCTCCTTCATCGATTCGCTGTCTTCCTCCCTCTGTGGAAAGTCCCGAGTCCCGACTTCGTTCGGATTGCAGTTTCCCGTTTCTCGCTCGCGTCGCGAATCGACAACACGGTGAACCGAGACTGGAGGCGTTGTTGCTGATGAGGTCCTTGTTCGTTTCGCGCGAATTCGTCGTATCTCTCTTGTTTTTTTTGTTTGTTGTTGTTGTTCTGTTCTTCTCGTCACAGCATGTGTACACTCGCTAGAACGGAGCTAAACTGAAACTGAATTTCGTGTGTTGGTTAAAGCCAATCCAGTGGATTACCGGGAGTGGGAATCGAGCTCATGGATCGAGGATTGGTGGGTACCCCAGATGAATCGATTTCTCATATAGTGAATCGATTATCCTCGTGACGAAATGGAAATCAATAAACAGAAATTTCGGTCGCTCCAGTCATTGGGAACGGGAGAACGTACCGACTGACGACACTGAACAGGGTAGGGACGTTTTCTCATGAAAGGCAACCTGATTTTTGTCAAGAAGGGCAAATCACTACGAAGACGTTATCCGGATATAGACGACTGAATCGAACGGACACGGTGCTCGTCTTGCTCGTTCGCCTGCCTAACGCCAGGTGAGAGGACAAGTCTACAGTTTTGCTATACGCCAAGGTAGCCTCAGTCGTCGAGGAGCTTTCCGCGTATTCGCCGTTCTTGCCGTTGTGGTATATTTTTCTGTCGCTATTCTGACGTCTAATGTATTATTCTTTGCCCCCCATGTGTTAACCGGGATTGGCTTCTGTTGTTAGAGGTTGTTGTTGCTACTGCTGCCGCGGCGGCTACTGTAACTGTCGTTGTTGTTGTGGATGTCAATGTCGTTGTTACTTGCTACTGAGCAAGTTGTTGTCGTTGTGTTTGCGGTTCGCAGTTAGACACACGTAGAAATTGCGCTGAGCAAATTTATACCTGACAATCACGTGAGCAGTAATGCAGGAATTGACAGCCTGAGCAACGTCGGAGAGGTCCGCTGCCAATCGTCAGACAGTAGGCGCAGTACTTTGTGACGGCATCACCAGCAATCGAAAACGCATAAGGGGCGCTCTCGTGGACAATACTGCCCGGTTGCAATAAGGGCATGGCACTTCGTACAACCGGTCGATGCACAGGGAAGTTACGGGGTGTCTGGGCAAAACCGATCACCAGAGAGACAACTTCACCACCCCGCCGCAAGTCTGACGAGTTTGTAACTGTGTGATGTTGTTCTGCCTGCTGCTGCTGCTGCTGCCTGCCTGCTGCTGGAACAACGTTATCCGTCAGAGGGCGCTGTTCACCGAGCCCGGATTCTCAGCCCGGGCACTCTTGCAAAACTCGATGCTCTTGCACCGGGAGCGAAATCGTGGTCGTCTCGCGATCCGACCGTCTAGAGCTGGCAAGCGGCTCGGACCGTCGATCGGGGATCGCGTCTTGCACGAAACGAGACGTACGTCAAGTAGGTTCGAATTTCCGCGCTTGAGAAGTATCGAGAAAACATCACCAGAGCGGGACGACCCCTATGAATGGACGCATTCTGATACTTCGGGCGATCCGTCGTCGAAGTACCGAAGTCGAACATCGGCCGAGGCGACGACATTCGATCAGGAGACTCGGACCGTAATATGCGCAATGAGATTCAATGAACCGAACTCGCTCGTGTCCGAGTCAGCAGGCAAGAGTTGCGCGGTTGATGAGAAAAATTTCCTCCGTCCCAGAGACCCCACTGTTCCATTCGGCTGTTTATTCGTCTCGGAGAACTTCTGCACCGACTGAAAACAACCGGTGGCGGCGGTGCTGATGATGAGCCCGAGTCTCACTCTTGTCAGCGCGGACGGCTTCGCCCCACGGACGCATTCAAGGTGATGGGCTCCTGAAAGTTCGTTGCAAACGTCGACTTCGATCGAAGCGGAGGATATTCGATTCCAGGACCAGGTGAATGCAATTAGCAGACGACCTGAGGTAGGGGATTAAAGTGTTGTCTCCCTCTCTTTGTATCAAGTGCTGCGCGCCTGATTGACAGCCGCGACGACGACGACAGAAGCAACAGCCGGAATATCCCTGTTGCATATATCGTCAACTATGGGTGTCTCAGTCACTGGTCGACTTCAGCGGGTCCTCAATCACCCGGCGATTCGTCAGAAGTCTTCCATGATCCCTTAGATGATTAAGGTGTCCACCTTCCTTGTTGACTTGTCCGAGCCGGGAGCGTGTCCTAGGAGACATGACCGAGAAACTATCGGATCCATCCAGAGACGAAACGAAAAATCCCGATTTCTCATTATAGTCGTTTGGATCGATGTTTATTCGAGCGTTTGTACCAGTCTACTGGATCGAGATATCATGACGAACATTCTGACGACTTTGACGAAAAATTCCGCCGTCAGCTTTTCCGGAGCCGAATGAATTCCTCGACACCTAGAAGTCGAATATTTCATCATGACTACCATTTTCAGACGATGTCTCCTCAAGGTGTAGCCTTCTCTATCGGAGTGTTCCACCTGATGCTGTCAATCGTTCAATACGAATGTGCAAGCGAGACTCATACGGAAAGCTCCTCGAATCTGTATCGGTCATTAGACCGCAATCTAGAGCCGTCCGACGACAACGCGACCCTATTGTGTAAAATTTCGGAGAAGACGGGCTGCTCCCTTTGCCACTACAGGTCAGGCTTTCTCGCAATGGAGTCACGGAGAAGTAACCGGCGTCCAATGCCTGAGTCTTGCATTGCGACTCGTCGCGGAACTTCCGCATCGGATTCAATTCCGTATCGAATTTCAGACAAATCAGGAGAGACCTCAAGCCTTTTTCGGAAGGTATCAGCCGGGAGGATCTGAATCGAGCGGCGAAATTCGGAGTTCGCTACCAAATCATCCAGGGACGTGTGTTCCGGCAGAAGGAGTGCATGTTCCCATTCAGGTGGGGCTGAATATTCTGCGCTCACTTTTTACATCGACTGTGATACAAGCATATGAGTCTACGAACAGAACTAAACGAGGGAACGTAACGCTCTCCCCAGATGCTCCGGAATCGAACACTTCCTGTTGCGGCTTGCGCCGAAGCTACCCGACCTTGAATTCATAGTTAATGTTCGGGACTATCCTCAAAGTCCCGTTGGCAGAGAGAAGCTTCCCGTTTTTTCGTTCAGTAAAGTGCCGAAGAACTACTACGATATCCTGTATCCGGCATGGACTTTCTGGGAAGGAGGGCCAGCCATAAGCATATATCCACGAGGAATCGGAAGATGGGATATCCGAAGGCAAGTCCACTTGCCAGATTCCGTCCCTCCCAGCTCAATTAGATCAATCTCGAACAATCGCTACCGATCTGGAGCTACGATGATCAACCCACTCGAAAACCTGGGGGACGAGGTGGTATATCTCGACTAAAATGTTTTTTCTGGCGCATCCGCAGCAAGAGTCTCATAGCCGAATCGGAGCGAGTGCCGTGGGACGCCAAAGTAGACCGAGGATTTTTCCGGGGATCTCGAACCTCAGCTGAGCGAGATCCCCTCATTAAACTATCTAGACGTCTCCCTGAGCTCGTCGATGCCATGTATACTAAGAATCAAGCCTGGAAATCGGATAGAGACACACTCGGTGCACCGCCGGCAGCAGAAGTTTCTTTCGAAGACCATTGTAAATTCAAGTGAGTAGCGGTCGTTAACGCGCGGCTCATCGAACGTGCCTTGATAATACCGGATTTGGACAGATATCCTGATTGAGAGGAAACGATTTTCTGTATCCAGGTTCCTCTTCAATTTCCGCGGTGTGGCCGCCAGCTTCAGATTCAAGCATTTATTCCTGTGCAAGAGCCTCGTTTTCCACTTCGGCCCGACCCAGAGCGAGAATGATTGGATTGAGTTTTTCTATCCGATGCTGAAACCGTGGAAACACTACATCCCCATCTCTCAGAATGAAGTCGATCAGCTCGAGACCGTAATCGAGTACTTCAAAGAACATCAAGAAGTTTCGCAGAGCATCGCGGAACGCGGCTTCGAAGCGATTCAGCGCCATCTACGGATGAAGGATATTCAGTGCTACTGGAGAAAGCTCCTGAAGAGTTACGCGGCCCTGATGAAATTCGAAGTCCAACGTGATAGGACCCTCTACGAAATCAAAACAAAGACGGAGGGAAGCTCCGCTGGAGGGGGAGTCACGAGCGTTCCGGATCGTGATGAGTTGTGATCATCGTCGATTCATACTACGACAACAAACTGAAGACGACGTCGTATTGCTGGTGTTTTCATTTAGAAAAAAATGAGTGCGGGAATGAAGGCGACAGGATAACCCTCAACAAGCCTTCTCTTTCTTGTTTCAAATAATCGTCATTGCTAATCATACGCTTTACACAGAAACTATTTACAAGGTACTCCGAGATAATTTGGGAAACTTTCATATTTCGATGTCCTTTATGGCCTCCTTCTCTTTGCGGTCGGCCTCCTCGATCTTCTGCTTGCAGTCTTTGAAGGTGATTTTTTTGGGAATGATATCTGAAATCGAGAGGATATCGCTCAGATGTCACCACCGGAGCGTCGATGACCTAGGACGTGGCAGAGCTCTCGGAGCACCGGAGGGAAGAATTGAAAACATTTACCATAAAGGAAGTCCAGCATGGAGTTCCCGTGAATGACCTTGTAAAGATCGGGATAGTCCACAGTATTCGTTTTCCCGGCTTTCAAGGTCTGCTTCGCTAGGTAAACGACGAACAGCTCCTGGTGGAAGGAAGGCCAATAAGAGATCGCGTCTTTCCCCCTATGGATGTCGTAGGACCTCGAAGTTAGTCATCGATTCAACTTACGGCGGCTCGAGAAGTGAGCGCAACTGCGTCCACACCGATTGTGTTAGTGTCCGGGGACGACTTCATGATGGTTTTTATCCGAGAAACCGGGAACGAAGACCTCGGCACCGGTCGTTCCTTCTTCGTTGAGGGCGAAGAGCCCTTTTTCGGAGTTTGCATCTGAAATTCAGAAATCACATCCATTGATCATTCGTGAGAGAGTGTCGACTGGCAACCAATCTCTCGTTCCACGCATGTCGATCATACTCGGCAGGCTAGAGGAATTTCAGAGTTACTGCACCGGAGCTTCCGGGGACGACATTCAATCAATGTGAACTGCTCGATGACGGACTCTAATGCCCGACAGATGAGCTGTCACAAGGACCAGGAGGGGATTGGGCGCCAAAAAACCGCCGGAATGGTCCTAATGCTTCGGAAGGTTCCTAATTGGTAAAAGGCTCCGGTGCTTTCCACCGAACTCCACAAGCCAACAGCGTCCAATAATTTCCAGGAGAACTCACATTATCGCTAAAAACGTCCCAAGATCTCACAATTCGAGTGTCCCCGACGAGGACAAAGCTACACAACACTGAGCGAACGTTGCTTCCGTCCGCTGATCTCAAGGGATGTAAGCCATGTCGTAGGATTCGGTATAGGTAGTCGAAGATAGCAGACGAATTCGACGGAGAGAAAACAGACCGAGCAAGGCTGCTTTGGATGTGCAGGGCGAGGCGCGCAAATTTGAATGCCTTTGAATTTGAACGACTGTGTGTGTGTGGTTGTTGCCTGCTGCTGTTGGTGGTGGTGGTGGTGATTCACCGTTTCCACCGATGCCTTGTGACGAGAGCGACTGTCACTAGGCATCGGAAAGCAGCCGATGCCTGCCAACCAAGGCGAAGACAGCTGACGGGAGAAATCAGCAGAAGGATTTC